AAATGGTAGCTTCTTCTGTCCTTGTCTCTGAATTTAAAAATAAGAGTACTTCCCCTCTGTGTGTGGCGTGTGTGTACTTGTGTGTCCTAATGATCTGTGTTCTTGCTCTGGTGAAGGTATTACATCTGAGCTTTACATCTATTCACACTTGCATTCCTGTGTGTGTGTTTAAGTCTCTGTTATGTGTGTGTGTGATGTCGGAGGGTGGCAGTGATTAATTGCACGGTAGGGATCGAACAAGCATTGTTTAATTAAAGCCTTTGGTAATGTCAGAGTTTATGTTTCCTGGGAGACAAGAGGTGGGACCTTGTCTACCACTTTCAGCTACTACCCTCTATTAATCACAGCGGTGTGTGTGTGTGTGTGTGTGTGTGTGTGTGTTGTGTGTGTTGTGTCTAAGCAGATGTAAATCTTTTTTACAGCTCCTCTGGGTAAATAAGAATCAAAGGGCAATTATGGTAAAAAGGAAATTTTCTGAAAATGTTTTTAGAATCACAACTGGATGTTGCTCAAACATAGCAGTTTCTCATTTTGACACCTGGAGATGTTTTGTGATTCTAGTTCATTTCAGTCCTGCCTCTAAGCTTTTGGAGATGAGTAGCACTTGTGTAGAGGAAGTGCTGGAAAAAGGTGCAACATCACCAACTTTTTACCAGCAAGTCTGTTGCTGTTTTTGGCAAAATATTTCAACCAAAATCCTGATAGAACTTTAGCGCTAAAAATATCCAGAAACTGTAAACACACTACCTGTTTAACAGTTTTGCTTTGTTTAATTTTTGCTTTTGTATTCTCACACTGATTCTTCTCACATTTGTGAAAGTTAACTAGACAGCACTCACAGAGGGCAAAGCTCCTCCAAGGCAGCTCTGTTGCCCCATAATGCCATTACAGCTACTGTAAATGCGATATTCTCATCACAGTTTGACCCTCATAATATAATTCCTTGACCATGAAAACCTAGGGTATACATAGCATTTGGAGCCACATTGATATCATAAATAGTTTGAATTAGTTATTTAAGAAAAATGATAGACATGAGTGATTACTAAATAAATATCCCATGCAGACTGAAATAACTGTGTGTACTTAAAGTCACACATTTGTAAGTCCACTTTAGAGTCCGCTTTCCAATGTGCCTCCTGCTACACTTATTCCCTCCACCCGTCTCCACCTCGGTGGAGGGAATGAACTTGACTAAGTACTAAATAACAACTGAGATGCCTGGACATCAGTTTTCTTTATCAGAAACCGAGGCCTGCTTTCATACCTCAGTGAGAAATATTGACAAGCTGTTTGAAACAGTGTCTGTTTGCATGAATTTGTAAGGTCGTTTAAAGAAGCTATGTACATACAGCATTTGTCATTCCTTCTCTCAAAAAGACATGATATTTTCTCAGCCGTTCCACTCTTTGTTTAGTCCCATACCAGAGGTGTAAATTGTAGATGTGAATAATGATATAACGGATGAGGTTTTGCAGTACTTGTGAACACCTTTCTTCACAACAAGTGATTTTTTTGTTTCATATTGCAAGCAAAAAGACATACTGAGTGTGATTTTATTGAACAGTCCTGCTCTTCACTGCTCTGCTCAGGGTATCGCCACAGCCTCCCCTCCTCTCCTTACTCCTCCGTGGCTGGACCTAATGGTCAGAGGTTACCTCCATCTGGCACGCTCTCCTCTGAATACCTGAACCAGGGTGGCTCTACAAAGGTCCTCCTCCTCATGTGTAACACGGCAGGATCTGGACAGCAAGCTGTCAGGTGAGCTGCGAGCTGACAAATGACTTTGTATTGTAGTTGGTTTAGTTTCATTAAGGGGTTGTATTTGACTGAAATAGCAAATATTCCGTTTAATCAGCTGTTAGTGCTCCATCTTGTGAAGTGGTTTATTGAATTAGGGTTTTTAAGTGCAGAGCAGCAGAATCACTTAACTTAGATTTCTTAGGTGAGACAGCATTTGAGGATGTGTCATCTTACATTTGTGATTTGTTCTGGAGCTTGTTCGAGTGCAGCAGCAGGCACATCTTTCCTACTCTTCCACTGTGTTCACATAGAATATCTCATTTATTCCTTCCTGTGCTGTCTCAGTGTCAGCATCTAACTTTTGTTTGACTTTGTCCTGTGTGTCTATTGTTCAAATTCCCTAGGCCAGACTGGTTTTATTTCACTTGTGCAGCTCCCACCCAGCCGTAGCTGGAAACTGACAGTGTAGAAACCTAAGACAGAGTTGAACAGTATATTCAAATCAGAGCACTTAATCTGTGTTAGTATGGTTTTATTGGTTGCCATGTGTTAGTCTAACAAGGCAGCGTCATTAACTTGCTTAGCACCTCGAATGCACCTGACGACAACAACAACACAGATCTTTAGTGTGGATAATTTGACCAAACAGTGGAAGCAGCCATAAGGCAGCTACAGCTGAATGATGCCTTTTTGTTTGCTGCTCACAGATAAACTGTGTTGTTCTGTTTGGGACTAAATGTCTGACAGGGTCCGAATGGCATCGTAAATCTGATCACGTCTCTCCTCAGTACTGACACTGACATCACAAATATAAAGATAATCCTTATAAGATAACAACTTTAGGAGTCTAGTTAGAACTGAGGAAGGATTTTCTGGCTTATGAACCAAAACCAAGCTAATGCATGATTGTTGTGCAACTACTTAAAAGATTAGTCCACTAAACTGCAAAGGATCATAGCTAAACCAAGGCACATGTCTGATAGTGCAGTTGAGCTTCCGGTGGAATATTTTGTAATGTGAAGCCAAATGAAATACTTAATAGTGAAGAAAACATTTTAACAGCAGGATTGTTTTAGTATATTTACACCATGACCTACTGTAGATTGTTTTTATAGGAAAATGGACTGCTCCATGTCCAATCCAGAAATGGAAGTATTCTTTTGACCAAAGGTAGACTGTGCCCATGGGAGTGACAGGTTATGATTGTTGCTGCATTCAGAAAGCAGGGTTTGGATTTTAGCGCTGGATTGCAGGTATTGTGCATAATTTCATATGTAGTACTTGCAATGCGGGACATTCCCGAACTCATTTACAGCAATGTCAAAAAGTTGGTGTGCTCCAAAACCTGGCACGGTGCTGTTTGTGCCAGATGGGGTGGTCTCCATTCGTTTGAACTACGTTAGCATGGTGCCCGCCGGGCGGCCACGCCTTCTCACCCTCTTTACAAAACTACGTGTCCCCCCTGCTGTTGCAGCATCTCTCGCTGGCTTATATACTCAGGTTTTAATGATGTGAACGTGAAACTATGCGAACATGGGCCACTGGTTAGCATAGATCTACGTCAACGAAGTGAAACCCGCTCATAAAAAACACTGGAACCCAAAAGGACTAGCACAAACAGCAGTGCCAGTGATGGCAATGTTACTCCTCAGGGTCCTCGGGCAGGGGAATGGTAACATTACAAAGATGAAGCAACAATCCAAAGACGTTTCAGGATAATTGGCTCAGAATATATTCATGGCTTGAATTTAACAATGATTAAATGAGCTGCTCACTTTGTACAATGTCCGGTGCTGCACCTTTTACCTGCCGACGGCATTTCAGCATTGAAAATTTCATTTCAGAACTTGGCCCTCACTGAGAGCAGTTTTTTTTTAAGTTACCAAGTGGAAGAGACAGAGGACAAGGAAATAATAGATCATGGTGATGAGAGCAAAGGGAGCCACCAAAAGAAAGACTAAGGACACTGATGCAGCTCAAGAGAGGAGAAGGAGAAAGAAACAAATTACAGCAATGGTTCAGAGAATTTCTTAAATTGGAGCAGAGTGATGAAATGCAGTTTCAAGTAAGAAAAGGGCTAGGTAAGGACTAGGACCTGCAGTTAAGAGCACAGGTATTATCACCCACAGACTATATAAATCCCCCCTAATTAAGGGGAAAACACCAATGACACCAATTTCTAAATTTTAAGGATGACTCAGATTTCCCAGATGTCATGGATTAAAAATGCCTAACCTATTAAACATGGATTCCCATTTCTCCTCAGTCATCCAGTTCCAGTCATCAAATGCCCTTTGGGTCTTGAGTTAACAGGACAGGAGTGAAGCATCAGGGTCTTCTGCCACAGTGTCCATGCTTATACATGTACAAATCCATAATTGTATTGTGGTTTAGAAGAGACCAGATGACAGACAGTCTTATAAATGTCCTGATTATGTCAGGATGGCACATTTATGGACTCATTTGTCCACATGCAGCAGGACTCATGCCACTAAACAACTGAATCTGTTTATGTAGTCATCTTCCCCCAGTTTTTAGAATATTGCAGCACTTCTGAGACAAGCAGTCTAGTTTCTATGTAGACGCCTTAACACCATATGTAGTAGTTGAACATGTCATCTCAGCTCTATGCTTCACTATGCTGCTACAGCTGTTTCATTTCCTGAAAAAGCTTTCCACGGGATTTTGGAACATGGCTACAGAGATTAGCCCCAATTCAGCCACAAGAGCATTCGTGGGCTGACGCTTGGTCTTCCAGTTTGATGGTGTTCAGGTCAGGTCTCTGTGGAACCACCTCAGTCCTTGTTTTGTGCACAGGAGCACTGTCTCGTTCAACCAGGAAACAGTTTGCTGTATGTAGCAGTAGGATTTCCCATAAGTTAAACTCCACCTTCCAGAATGATCATAAAATCGAAGCGGCACTATTCTAACATTCATACATTAGTTTTAGCTAGGTGTTGTTGGTCTTTGGTTCTTGTTACCATTGCTAACTCTGAGAGACGAGACAGTCCAAGTAACTTCAAAACAGTGCTGATTTATTCAAAGGATCACAGGTAAAATTAACATTACACGCTCAGGTATCTTGCACCTCCAAACTGCTCGCAGGCAGATGTAAGATGAAAGACCCTGAACCCACCAGGCCTATACATTATATCCCCTCGGTTGGGCTAGCCCCATACTACACAGAAACGTCAACCGAGACGTCTCTGTTACCAGCTTTGCAGCTGGTCATAGCAGTAGTCAAAACATGAAGTAAATCAATGTGCATGTGTGTGTGTCTGTTGATTAAGTGGTGTGTAGCTAAAAACATTCTCACGACCTCTAGTAACATGTCGTGACTTAAACATAAGAACATATTATGGCTAAGGCTACAGTTATACACGTCATAATAATAATATTAAACACCCTGTCTGCTGACAGTCATCAACTCTTCTCTCCAGTATCCTTGACCAGATGTACCCTGTAGAAACTCATAAGCATGACTAAGCATTTAACAGTCTAATTAGACATCCTATCTCCACTAAACATTTCTAATACATAAAGTATCTATCCAATTTCTATCTGACTAAAAATACCTAACAGTGTACTTGATAAATATAAAACCTCACAACTTTAATCTTTATCTATGTACGTCTAAATAATCCCTGAGAGATCCTGAAATATTAGACTTGTCTGTTTAGACAAACACAGTTGCCTCCCCATTAACCTCACATTCAGTGTAACAGCCTCCAATAGGCGCTGCTGCCCAGTCAGAGGGAGCACGGGCATTGAGTTAACCTAGAGGCCGAGGAGTCATTATGAGAAACAGCTGCGGTAATGATACACTGGTTTCTCCTCTCCTCTCTCAGGTTTGGACCTCCATTTCTCATGCGTGAGGACAGGAGCATCTCCTGGGACCAGCTGCAGCAGAGCATCCTCAGCAAACACTATTATCTGATGCTGAACGGATCTCAGGCTCAGGTAACGCCAGCATCCTCAGTAACCAGTAACATGCCACTCACTGTATTCTGTGTCCAGAACCATTCAGCTTGCAGGTTCTTGGACTCGACTCCAGTGGGGCAGATTAAACTAGCAGAGCAGAACACAGCTTAGTTGGGAGTTTGATCCATGTTCATTGAGAGTTTTGTGTTTAAATTAGTTTTAATTTGTCTATTGTTTATCTAACTGTTTGTCACATTTGAAGCTATTGTAAAAGAAACATAAAGGCAAAGGTTAACCCAGATAAGGATGTATTTCAGCAAGGTGCTGTAGTCTATCAGGTGTATGTTGCTGTCTTCTAATAAGCTGTTTTGGTCTGCTGAGACTATAAAGCAGATTTCTGGTTAGATTGCTGAGTGAATAATTGTTGGATTCTCTGTTGCTGAAATTTGAATATTTGTAATTGGCACTTTATTCTTTGTTTGCTGGACCATTTAGAGTTTTGGCTCCTCTTTAGTTCTCTTTTTTCATTTATTCCAAGTGAACCTCATTTGCTGCTTCACTAAACTAACACACACAAATTCCAGAACCATGTGCTGTGCTCTGAAACCAGAAGTGCCTGCACAAACGTTTTCAAAAGCATTAAGTATAGCTGCTGAAGTGCTTAGTTCTTGCATCTGATTAATAAAATTCTAATTCTGTGTTTGTAGTGTGGATGGATGGCTGTACTATTTTGAGAGCACTGATGCTCATGTCTGTTATGCTGAAGCTCTCATATCCTTCAGTTCATTCAGGGACGTATTTAAATTTGAAGTACTGCACTGTAAACTGTTTTTTAATAAATAGAATTCAGATTAAGTGTTCAGTAAAAAATATGACTGAGGACATCATACTCATAAGGACACACACACACAGAGTTCAAGCCTTTTATCAGCGAGTAATGGGGGTTTTATTGCTGAGTGTGGATTCAGTCATGCCACCACCTTTATCTGCAGACTTTACCACCATACTTTAGGAAGAAGTCTGCCTTTCAGAAGCACATTTTAAGATTCATCCTATTATAGCTAGAGTGGACACAATACGGCTACATTCCTGAATTTAAATGTACACAGTATATCCTGTGATTCTAGAGTGTTTGTTTTGTGGACAGCCAATCTCGCATGTTAAGCTCCTCTCCGTTCGTTCTGTTCCGCTCAGTGCCTCTGACAAGCGTTGACGATCACCCCCAACGAGCACGTCTCCACTCCAGCTTCGAGTGGTCTGTACAGCGTGAGCCCTGAACCACAGCTCCACAGTACACTCACTCATGCACACACATTGTCCTCGTCGCTGGTCGTCAGGTTGCCATGGGCAACGCCATGGTGACAGACAGCATTTGAGGTGGCCTTATCCAGAGTGAGCAGCTCTCCGCTTTATAAGAAAAAGAGTCAGAGAGGAGGAGAAAGAGAAATGTCCGCCTGTTATTTACTGATTACAATCTCAGTTTCTTAGTTACCTCCTCAAAGCCTGTCTGGCCAGATACAAATCTGTTGCAAACTTGCCCTCCTCTCAGATTTCATCATAAAGCAAACAACCCCCAGGTTCCTTTAGTTGTAGATTATATGGATATTTTGAACTGAAAAGGCCACCTATGTCCCAAGGTGCAGGACGGTAACACCCGCTGATGCTTTCTTGTCTCACTTTTAAAAAGGAAAAACTGAAGATGCATGAATTCTAGTCTGTTGCTGTGAGCTCGCTGTGTGATACAGTACTGTGTCTTTATTATGAGATGTTTTGGCGCCACTCAGAGGTTTGTTTAGTAAGGTACAACTTTTGTTAGAGCTGGGGTATTGAATTGTGCCTCGAGCACCTGTATGGTCCATGTCTAAGACAGGTCCAGTGATTTTAGACCCTGAGGAAAAACTTTTAAATCAGATGAGAGGTGAGAGAAGCTTGTTTTTAACATGCTTTAAATCTTCACATGTAATTTTTGTTACCAAGAGATTGTCCCTTGATGGTTGTAATAACTTGAAATGTTCAATATTTTGCCTTCCAAAATGTTCCCCCCATGATATTTCTGACCTTTTGTCAGGTTTTCTTCTTAAAAATATTGTATTGTTAGCTATTTTTAGATGATTCTGTCCTGACAAATTCAGTTTTCTATCTTAATTCTTAACTTTTCTGCTTGTTTGATATTTTTAAAGGATTAAGACTTTCTTAGGGGTTGAAATGTTGCAATTCAGACTATTTACAATTATTAAAATCCTTACAGTTTCTCAAGTCATTTACCAAATCCAAAACCCATTCTGGACTGTGTAGACAATAAATAACTGTTCAAAATTAGTTATTTAAAGTTCTTTCTAAATACTTTGTCTAAAATGGTATCGATTTTTAAAAACCTCAAGATTCAACTTGCAGAAATTGCTCAAAGTCAAAATTAGAGTCAGATGAATGAAGCACTTGAATGCACTTAATTACTTTTGGATTTGAATGCCTTGTGTATTCAGGTGCTCAGCGAAAACCCCCTCAGTTTTACCCTTGCTCTGCTGTCTGGGGAATAGGCCAACGCTGGTGGTGGACATCTTGACAGATTACAGATCATCCTGGAGAAGGTTGTAGATCTGTCCAGTAGACTGATCAAACCCTTAAAACTGAAAAGAGAACTGTGTCTTTTTCATTTGCTGCTGTAGGCTCCTGTTAATCAACCAATTTATTTCCCTTTATGCTCGACTGCAGCTTCCTATTCTCCAAAGGCAGTTCCCTCAGATTGAGCACATTTGCAGCCTAATTCCACTTTCTGCTCTATAATAAGTCAGCCCTGTTATCTTGCTTGCTGAAGCAGAAGAGGAGTTATTATTCATCTGTTAATGCATTTTCAAGACCACATATCACATGTAAATGAGAGGATTTGTGTGTTTTAGACTGTTGTGATGATATAGATCCTATAGTTTGACATTTCAAACTTTGCTGGGATTGCTCGTGTTCATGTTGAGTGATGTGGTCTTAGATGAAAACACAATTTAATGCCAGAGTTGGAGCAACTTTGCATTTGCACCCTTTCCAGTCGTCTGTTTGAAGTTGGAAGGATGCGATCTCACAGACTTCCATGCTTCAATAATAATTTATGGATATTTGATTCAGTCATTTATTGCTGGGTTGTTCACTGATGCTGCCAGCAGTGTGAAATGTGATGAAAGTGCCCCCTCACAGACCTGATGATGCAGACTATCATTTTAAACTCTTATTAAACAATAAGTAAGATGTTTTTCTCTCACATTACCTTTGACTGTTGCACAGTTATGAATGTTTAATGTTGTTGATGGGGAAAAAAAAGGACTTGAGTAAGTCCCCCCCCCTCCAAATAAACACTAAACCCTTGCATCACATACCAGATGTGATGTAGGGTTGCTTTCTCTGCTGTATTACAGTTGGATACCCGAAACCAGGCCTGATGGGACCAGTTGGTACCTGAGGGTTCAGGCCTGGTTCAGACACAACTATGCAGCCCAGTCCATGTTCTAAGCTGTATAGTAATTTTGTTGACTGGCTAAATTACATGGCTGTGACAGTACCATACCAGCTGTCTCCTATCAGAAAACTGCAGTGACATTTCTTGCATCACCTCTTTCCCACTCTTCAGCATAAGCAGTTGCACAGTAATCTGTTTGCCAATTACAATTTTTTACAGATACAAGAAGCAAACTATACAAACTACTGTGTCGCAGTCAGTTCTGTTTAGATGGTTTTGAACAGTACAGTCACACAATCACTTGACAGCACATGCTCCTCATCAACCTGCTACTTGAACATGCTGGTTAAAAGTCAGTGCTCCAAACTGCAAAGATTTGATTCAGGTTTTCATTCTCTGCAGAACGCTGGGATGCTATTCAAGATCAGAGTAGTGGGAGGTTCGGCTGCATACAGTTACCTGTCTCCGCAGGACAACAGACCACTCTACCACCCAGCGGTTGACAGGTGAGACATGCACAGCAAACACACACTGTACATGGCCTTGACAATGAAATGATAAAACATGAAAAGAAATGCAATTATTAGATGAAACCAGTCCTTAACATAGCTTTCACTAGTCATGCCACTTTGATGGAAGACTACTAGTAAGATCACAGACATGTATAGCAGTAAACAAGCAAACAAATAACTATATAGCAGCCAATTAAAGCTGAAACTGAAATTGGAAGACAGGTTTTCTAGTGCCTTCTGAAAAAAGCTACAGTTTCTTTCAGAAGCCAGTGGACCCTAAGAGGATTACAGGGACCTAGTGAAATCGGGGGGATGATTATATCAATTTGATATTGTGAAGATAAGGCCTTTATTCCCTGTGTCGATACAGCTGACAGGTTTCTTATGAATCTCCACTGTTGTTCTGCTGAGCTGTAGTTGAGGTCATGCCTTCCGCAGAGGAGCAAGGAAATTAGATGGTGCTCTAGGTCAGGCTAGACTTTCAGCAGGTGTGTGTGCGTGTCTGTGTGTACAAGCATGTAGTTTTGTTCACGTTTTCATATGTTTGTGTGAGCATGTCTTACTGTCTGCAGCTCTGTGCTTATATCACATAAAGCATTTTCTTTACACACAGTATCTTCAGAAATTCATCCAAGTAGATGTATTTGGAGTGTTTGTCAATGAATTAGCATATTTGATTTATTTATTTAATGATTATCTGGGCTGTTCGTCTATGTGTTAGCCCTGCGATGGATTGGCAACCTGTCCAGGGTGTACCCCGCCTTCGCCCGATTGCTGGCCGGGATTGGCTCCGGCCCTGCCCGTGACCCCGTTCAGGGATTAAGCGGTTGAAAATGAATGAATGAATGAATGGTTATTTGTATAGGGACAAGTAAAACGTGAACCATTGCCACATACCACAGCATTAGATGAAACTAGTTTGCAGGTTTGTCTCAGGATGGGACTTAAAAATACACGACACTCAACAAAAAATACATAAAGAACAGCACAGTTATACAACCAAATTACCATAAAAGCCACTGACAGTAGATGCTAACATGACTAATAATTGTTTCAGCTTGAAAAATGCCCTGACTATTATGCCTGCCTAGTCTGAAGCACCAAAAACAAAAAGCAAGAAATGTGACTGTCTGCATGTTGTCAAAGTGTGTGCCACATGAATAACTAAAGATTTTTATAGTATGTAATTGGCCAGTCAGTCTGTTGTGTGTTGACTGCTCTCTAATGACACACTGCTTACAGAGAGGGCTGTCTTTTAATGAAATTAATCAAATGTTTAAGGTAAGAAAAATGATAATAATCATACTATGAATCCCTGAGTCGACAAAGGAGTATTTTGTAATGGATAAAGATTTTGTGTGAGATATCAGTGGAAGTGTGCTTTAATGCCTTTTGCATTTTGTAGTGTGTGTATGTAAGTGTGTGTGTCAGACACCACTGGAGATACAGTATGAGTTCACTTTCAAGTAAAGCAAATTATTATTGCAGCACTCATGCAAAATTCAAATATGCTAGCGAGCAGAGAGAAGGGAGGAACATTTGTGGATCCAGTAGAATAGTCACTTAATAGTCTGTGTCCGCTGCATTTCATAATCATTTTAGTAAAAATATTACCATGTTGAGGTATTTCACCTCCCTGACTTGTCTTGACATGTTATGCAAGCCTGACATCTAGTGTTAATGCTCAGCATGTGCACATTCATGCATTAAAATGTTCAGAGGAAATAAGAAGGGAGCAACAACACAGAGAGAATGAAACACCTCATAGTGAGAATCAGAGTCAGTATCCACACATGGAGACTGTCTCCCTCTAGAATACAGATGCTTTGCAGAATCAAATGGAACATCTGCCACAACGTATCCACCATGTTCCCAGAACAAATACAGTTGCCATCAGAAATATTAAACCCCCTCACCTCAAAAGACATTAATGTTGATGAAAGATAATGACAATAAATGACAATAAACCTCATTAAACAACAAAAAAATATTTATTGACACATATTTGAGTTACTTTGACAACAGAAGTTGACTTAACTTTGAAGTTCAAATGAAAAATGTAACTCTTTTAACACATGTGCATGTGCAGTATTATTCACCCCCAGCTTCAGTACTTTGTTAGAAGTTATAAAAGCTAAAGGATGTGCCACAAACATTAATTTGTCAACAGAAGGCATCACGTTCCTCTTGCTCCTCCTGGTATTTCTGGGAATCCATGATGCCAGGTACACAGTCAAGATTGCCTGTTCCTGCTGCAGAAAAACAGCCCCACATCATCAATGGCCCACCTCTATGCTTGACCGTGGGGATGGTATTCTTCTGGTCATAAGCTTGGCTTTTCACATGCCAGACATACCGCTGGTCCATATGTCCAAACAGTTCCAGTTTGGTTTTATCAGTCCTTAGGACCTTCTCCCAAAACTTTGTAGTCTTATCCAAATTCCTCCTGGCATATTCTAGTTGACTTTTGATGTTCTTTGCGGTCAAGAGTGGAGTGCGTCTTGGGGTCTGGCCATGAAGTCCTTGCTTATTCAGTGCACGTCTTATAGTTGCCACTGAAGCACTTGTACCAGCCTTCATCATGTCATCCTGTAGGTGTCTTGCAGTCACACGGAGGTTTTTCTTAGCTGTCCTGACTGAGTTTCTTCCACAGCCAGGCAGGTTTGCAGCTGTTCCATAAGTTTTAAACTTCCTTATAATGCTCCCAATGGTGTCTCTTGGAATGTTAAATCTTTTGGAAATCTTCTTATACCTAAGGCCCTTAAGGTGTGAAGAAATAATCTCCTCTCTCAGCTTTTGTGGAAGCTCCTATGTCTTTCCTGTGATTGAAAATCCCCCTGAATACCTTCATAGTTGGAATGTATATATGCATCACAGCTGGAGCAAATGAAGAATCATTATAGAGTTCCCAATGACTTAATTATGTTTCAACTCCACTTTAGGCCAAAAAACCTGCCAGAAAGCTTTAAAAACAACAATATTATATAGGGGTTGAACAATTGGCTATCTTAACAAAATATACTGTTACACACAAATACTACATCATACATTTTCTGTGTTGATTTTATGTATCACTCAACTCATAAAGAAGTCATCCAAAGCAGAAGATTCTGCTCTTTGAAAAAAACTGTAATTGATAAATCCTTAAAATATTTGGGGGGTTGAATATTTCTGATTGCAACTGTAAATAAATATAGAACTTAGCTTTCAGTGATTGCTAAATTTCACTTGCCTTCTATCAGTGCTGTTTGGCTGTTGAATACTGATGCTGTTTATCGTTTCCTAGATCAAAGCAGTGAAGGTAAGGTCTGCAAGATACAACTACCCGCTCATCATTATGACTCAACTTCAGACATTTTGCAAATTAATAGTTGATTGGAAGCAAGTCGGGGCTCACCTCTGCCCTGTGTAATCCCGCTGTTGCCAGTGTGTGGGTTTTATCGATGTGAAATAAAATTAAATAAAACTCAAGACCACAAAAAATAAACAGTCACTATCATCAGAACAGGCCCATTATATACTGAGAGCTACACAGAGCTCAGCATCCGTTGGGTTTCTGGTTTCATGCTCATGGGGATGAGGCAGTACTTGTTACCAACTCCAAGTAAACTAAGATAATAATTGTGTTGTAATTGTGGTGCCGTTTTATTGTTTTTCTCTTGCTGTATTGCAGAGCTCTGAAGCTCTGTGGCCATGGGGGACCTCCACATGTGAAGCTCGTCATCGAGTGGGAGCCCAAGACTAAAGAATGGTGAGCGTGATGCACGCACAGTTTTACCTCTGGAGGAGTGTACACACTTCAGAAAAAATTACAGTTGGAACACACACACATGCACAGAGTTTATAAACAGCTGTGTGTGCTGAGAGTCATTTTACAATTCCCAGATAGCACATGGATTCATTCTGTGTGTCAGATGGCACAAACACACAAATACACAATTGTACTGATCCAAAGATTGTGAACACCATTTTGCAGCTGTGTCGGAGCAATAATCCCTGTGTGTGCGTGTATGCTCCAGTCTGTTCGGCAGCATCCAGGAGGAGGTGGTGAAGGATGCAGAGAGTGTGAGGAACCAGCAGCAGAACCACTTGCAGCAACACAGCTGCACTTTGGACGAGTGCTTTCAGCTGTATACCAAAGAAGAACAGGTGAGTGTGAAGGCAGCACGGCTATTACTGTGTGTAAACAACATAAGTGTTTATTCTTGGCAAATCCAACCGTCTGTGCCTTGGCATCATCTCCTATCCAAAAATCAGACAGATTATATATTGCAATAACCAATCCACAGTTTTAGCACTTTTTTTCAATTGTTTCTTTATTGAAAAAAAAAAACCCAGTTTGCAACAGTATGCGTATATGTATGTGGTGGAGAAAGCTAAAGTTGTTTGTGTTTTTGCTCATCGTTCAGCTTGATGAGATTTAACTAATAACATCCACACCCAAAGAGCAGTTGGACTGATTAATTAATCCTAAAAATGGACAAATTACAGTGCAGTGTAAAACATGGCCAAAGGTTTCAGGCTGGATGAGGCACAGAGTGCTGTCTTGCTCAGAACGTATGGGAAAGAAACACAAGATGGCCCACTTGTAATGTGAGTCACAAGAAATACCCGACAAGATGAGTTCTAGGAACTAACTGGAAGCATAAAAGACTGAATCATGAAAAAATCACCTTGGAAAACAGGGGTTAAGCACTCACGTGGACAGGAAGCTACATGACAGGCGTCGTCAGATTTTTTTTTTTTTTTTTTTTTACTGATTTCTTATTCACTGCAAATACACAAAATGAAGAACACTGTGATGGTGTACAGCTCTGCTCATAGAGCTTTTGGGCTGTAAAAACATCACCAATTTCTGACTGAAATCACCCAGTGCAGAGGAAATGCAGGGCAGTAAGTAAATGCTGCACAGCAGGGAGAGCTCGACTGCTGTGCTTCAGCTGCTCCAAATCCTGTGTGAGCTTCTCAAAGTGTTTATAGGCTGCCAGTCAAATATAAGCCTCTTTATATTTAATAACAATAATAATGTTATTATCAGCCTGTTGTATTTTTATGACTATGTGGAGATATGTGGCCTTAGCCTGAGGTGTCTGGTTTAGACTGATTTCATTAAAAGCTGATTTATTATTCTTGTGGGTGGATGTTTAGTTTCACTGATGTAATGTATTCTGGTTTAGAGGGATTCTTTTCTTGATGACAATAAGAAGTAGGTTTCTATATTTGACTGGGAGATTGTCACCGTCTATGATATTTGCGAGCAAACAGAGTGATGGAGAGATTTTGCAGCTCATGATAATGGAGAGTTTCTCTGTCACCGCTATCCAGGAGGAGTGAACTGGTTGGCAGGCCCAAGCGGCATGGACGTAAGCATCAGTGCTACCCAAAGGTTTTTGGGAACATTATCTTACACACAGGTGTCTTTAGTTTTGGTTTACTGATAAATAACAGCACGTTATTTATCTTTTGCACTTGGCACAGCCGTGCAGAATTTCTCTCACAGCACCTGTCCTCCTGTGGAAATGGGCTCCATATGCATGAGATGTCACACACACAAATACAGTCACAAGAAAAAGTAATGTCACTGTTTGCAGTTTCCTGGGGTTTTTTTTTGCATAAACTGGTCAACAAACAATATTTCTAAGCTGATAAAATACAAACAGTCATGATATTTCATGTCTTTATTGAACACACCCATTAAACATACAAAGTGATGGTGGGAAAAGTAACGGCAAGCATTTTCTGTAGCTGTGGATTAGACCTGCACAAAGTTCAGGAGAAATTTTGGACCATTCTTGCTCACTGAACTGCTTCAGCTCAGCCATATTCTTAGGACGTTCTCTGTGAACGGCTCTCTTGAGGTCACTCCACAGCATCTCTATTGGGTTGAGGTCTGGGCTCTGACTGGGCCACTCCAGAAGGAAGGATTTTGTGTCTCCGAAGCCATTCTCTAGTAAATTTACTTGGACATTTAGGGTCATTGTCCTGAGGCATCACCTCAGGCTTGTTTGGAGCTTTAGCTTGCAGACAGCCACCCTGACATTATCCTGTAGGACACCTCGATAAACTTGGGAATTCATTCTCACTTCCACAATCGCAAGCGGTGCAGGTCCAGAGGCAACAAAGCAGCCCCAGTTCATGAAGCTCCCGCCTCTGTACTTCACTATTGGGATGATGTTTTCATGTTGGTTTGCAGTTTTTTTTTATTCCATACATAGTGCAGTGTGTTCTTCCCAAACAGTTCTACCTTCATTTCATCTGTCCACAGGATATTTTCCCAGTAGTGTTGTGGAGTGTCACAGTGGTCTTTGGCAAACTTTAGGCATGCTGCAGCATTGTTTTTAGAGAGCAAGGCCTTCCTCTGTGGCGTCCCACCATGGATACCATGCCTGTTCAATATTTTGCATATGATTAACTCATGAACAGAGATGTTAACCAACTCCAGTGAATCCTTCAAGCCTTTAGCTGTTACACTAGGGCTCTGTTTTACCTCACTGAACATTCTGCGTTGTGCCTTTGGGGTGATCTTGGCTGGGTGCCCACTTCTGTGGAGAGCAGCCACAGTAGTAGATCATCTCCATTTATAGACACTATGTCAAACTGTGGACTGATGAATATTTAAAGTTTTTGAGATGACTCTGTAACCCTTTCCAGCTACATGCAAATCAACAACTCTTGATCATCGGTCTTCTGAGATCTCTTTTTTGTGAGGCATGGCTGTTTGAGTGTTTTTATAAGTCAAGGTAGTTCTAAACCACACCTCCATTCTCATTTCACTGACTGGACTCCAGGTTTAATGACCCCTGACTCCAGCTGACATTTAGTGACATCAAAAGCCTGGTGTTTCCATTACTTTTTCCACCATCACTTTGTATGATTAATGGGTATGTTCAGTAAAGACATGAAAGATCCAGACTGTTTGTGTTTTATCAGATTGAAATAATGTGTTTGTTGATATTTCTGACTTTGGTGAAGATCAGATCACATTTCATGACTAAGAAAACCAGGAAATTGCAAACAGTGCCATTACTCTTTGTTGTGGCAGTATAATCCAAGCACAGGAGCAGGTTTTACTAGTGTTCCAAAATCGCAAGCTGCAAAAATACTCCAGCTGTCAAATCTGCAAGGTACAGACTCATTTCCACATTTTCTCTGAGTACAACTTGAGTAGTAAATAACAACAACCTTGCACACAACTACTAGAACCTATCCCCCTGCTGCAGCCCAGCATGGAACTATCCATCCATCCATCCATTTTCTTCCGCTTATCCGGGGCCGGGTCGCAGGGGCAGCAGTCTAAGCAGAGATGCCCAGACCTCCCTCTCTCCAGACACTTCCTCCAGCTCCTCCGGGGGAATGCC